GGGCGGCGTTCTACAAGAAGTAAATTGGGAAGGTTGATAAAACCCAAATCCAGATGTGCATCAAGGCTAATGGGAAAGGTAACAATGTTTTGAAGACCTTAGATGGTTAAGAAACGAGTATCAGAATTATTGATGTCACCACAAATGATACAGACTGAAGTATCTACATATTCAATCAGTGTAGTTGAAAGAGAGTCATAAAAATCAGTGAAAACATCAGATGAGCAAGAATGGGCTATATACACATTTACAAGAGTAAGTGACCCAGAAATGTTAAATTGTCTGTACTTACATTGAATTGCTGATGCGTTTATATAACTTGTGGAATAAAAAAAAACACTTTTGGCCAGATGACACCACTGATTTTTGACAAACGTGATGACGCCACCTCCCCGTTGGGAATAAGGAACAGGACGATCGACACGATAGCTAGCGAATCCATCCAGGTGTATTATTTCATCATGAAGCTAAATTTTTTGTAGCATGATCACACCTAGTTGGGCATATTCCCGTAGCTTGATTAAGCTGGTGAGATCGGCCATATTTCTGAGAAGAGATCGGACTTTAGAACTGAGAATGGTAAGAACACACAAGCGGGAAATGGTTTGTTTCCGAAGAGCAACTTTCCAACCGGCTCGATGCTTCCTCAGATTCTTCAAAAGCTTTCTGAAATTCCTTTTCGTTGTATTTTTTATAGTCCTCCCAAAGCAGGTTGTAGCTGCACATTTAGTCCATTTAATGGAATGCATGTATATTTGATCAAATTTGTTATTACTTTAGTAGCACAACAGTCGTCTTGGCAACCAAGTTAAAAGTTCATGCGAATGATGCAAAAACGCTCAGACACAGCTATGGTTATGCATTGAATAATTCGACGATGAAAAAACGGATAGCGCGGCCGCAATTCAAAGGCTCTCTCTTGCTGTATATGGAAGAACATGAGTTAAGTGTGTTAGTCGATGTGACCTTTATCTACTTGGGTCAAGGTACATGTCATGTTCTGTCTTTGTTTTAACACTAGGCCAAGACAGTCGAAGCGCTGGAACCAGTCTTTTTAGGCACACATGTTTCGACATAGTAAGCGAATGGTGATCACCTTGGCCATAGCCAGTGTTCAAACTCAGGCTAACTTCGGTCGATTGAGCGGGTCCGATCTTGTGTCCTTTGTCTACGAGATAACCCACGATCGCGCTTGAGAGACAGCCCATCTTCCCTTGAATTAGCTATCGCTAGCGGTGCTCCCCAACGCGTTTAAATAAACACCTTGCCGCATACAATATGCACCAGAAATGCACTTAAAATAATAAATTAGCACGAATGAGGCTAGTTTCGGTGCTTCGTTCCACTTGCATGCGCATCGCTGATAATGTAGAGAACACCGATCTATGTTTGGCGGGGAAAAGTGGAACTTACTGCCGCTCTCAGTGATTGTACTAGGCTATCTGTGTACGAGTCACTCTTCAATGGAATCCTCACGAAAAGATCTTTTTGAGGGCACACAGATATGGCTTTCCTTCTCCGGAGTCAACCGAATATTATCATCGATAAACGTTTCCGTGCAACCGTTGTCCTGAAAGCGTAGTTCTTCATCCAGTTCGTCTGCTGATAAATCCTCCGAGTCCTGAAAAACATTCTTTTCTGGTTAACCCAAATCTTCTATGTTGACTGCAAACTGTCTCGGAGACTTTGAGTGGCGAGTCTGCGACAGGCGGGCTCTAGTAATTCGACAAGCCACTACACCTTTGTGTGATTTTCTCATCGGCCTGTCGAGATTTGTCCTCTCTGTCGTCCGTGAATATTGTGACATTTCATTTAAACATCTGATGAATGTATCGTCAGACGCGCTATGTTACTGATTTCCTGTTCCTGGATTGAAATTCTACTGTAGATTTTAGTAGTTGCTGTGTACGCTGCACACTGAGGTAAATATCTTGATCCCTGTTACTTCGACGCATTTATTACATGATTCGAAGCATGTGCGATGTATCTCGTGTCGTGGTCGGGGATCCTTTATTGAATTTTGTCCTGGAGTTGTACCAAATTTAAATTCGGTTTTCAATAAAAAGGTAACATATGGTCGAACTATTAAAATCTAATACCAAGTTCAAAAGGTGCGATTGTCTGCCCAAGATCTCTAGACAAACTATGCCGGTTCAGTTGCAGTAGTCAAATGCAAATCTGAACGACAAATTCATGTGACTGTACCGTTTGACTATTTTCATTGTTCCTTGCATAGTAATGTGTACGGCCGTTCCTGACTCGAGCAGCACAATTGTTAGCGTATGACGCAACGCAAATCAGTTTGAACCGTGTTTGGATTTTCGGTCACCTCAATTGTCAAATTCGGTTTGTGGTCTACATGGTTGTGGACAGTTTTAGCAACTGAAATCAAAGGAAAAGTTTTGTTGAGTCTGAAATTTTATTTACTCGAACAGTACCGTTAGTCGATGAAGTTGACTGGTATTTCTGGTTTGCATTTTCACTACTGACAAACCGTCCATTCGTTTTCTTCCATTTAACCCTGCCTCCGCTCCACCATCCCCCTCAGTTGTGCCACGTATCGAACGCGGCCGTTGGTGGTTTGTCGTCCTACGCCCTGGTTATCATGCTCATTCACTACCTGCAACAACGAGATCATCTGCCCGTATTGCAAGAGGTTAGTTGGTCTTATTCCTGTTGATGGGCTTCATAAATTCCTAATCACAGAATGGGGGGGGGGAATTTTGGACATCACACTAGGGAGAACTAGTTTGTCTTCTCAGTGAATATAAAATGAATTTCGTCGTTAATGGAGCAAAAGAATATGTAAACTGAAGAACTAGGAAGCATTGTACAACTGTTCCAACCGAATCCATATACTTCAGTGAGGATCGAACCCGGGAACTCACAAGTGAGCATTTTAGCCAATTCAACACCGAACAGTTGATTACATTGTTTTCTGTCTCACCTATTCATGGTAGAGCACAACCAATCTTTGCAAGCATCACTTCACTTTCCTGTCAACACCAGCTTCCCGGGTAATGACTCCGTTGGAAATGTGCGGTTCTGGGGTCGTTGTTCAGTTACGTCAATTTGAGTTGCGCTGTTACTGAGACCCAATCAAGTTGAAACACCTGTCCAATATTACCTAGCTTTTTAGTTCACGTTCCATTTGCTCTAGGTTGGACAAAATTCATTTCATATTCACTGAGAAGGCGAACT